CTGAAAATGAATGAATGCTAACCTATCCACAAAACATTACCCGGGTGTAGTGAAACCTGTCTCCAAAAACGCATGATTTTTTATTGTTTCATCAGTTTTCTACGGTTTATCAACTCTTTGCAGGTTATATTTTGTTATATTTTTTTATGATTTTTATTGATTTATATTTTACTAATTAATCCATAGCTGGGGCAGAATAGGTGGATTCAGACCTTTCCCAAGGGTACTTGCTCAGAAGTGAATATAATGAACCTAACGGAAACTGCAATTGTGTCTATTAGTTCCAAGCCATTATCCATTGCACCACGCGCACATCCAAGTTTATAGCATCTGGTATTCCCATGCGGTCACCAATTTAGGTATTAACCAGACTCGATGTTGCTTAACTTCGGCGACCATACGCGAACCTGACATTCAACCTGATGTGGCCGTAAGCTGGCATGATTTTTAACCGCTTCAGAAAGATTAACTATGTATAATACGGTTCCCTATTTCTTATTTAAAAAAAACAAAACCTGATAATAAAATCTCGCATTATATTGAAATGAATATTCTTTATCTTTCTAATATTCACTTCTTATCACTTTTTTGCAATTCATATCACACACCAGTAACCCTCTAACTTGAGTGGTTCTCAAGTATTGCATTACGTGAATTCTAGTATTATTTTTTCCTAAGGGAATTTATTATTGGACGGAAACAAACGAGTTTCAATGTAGTCATAAATAATACTTGATAATATCAGTTTTCTTTGTGCAATCGTTATCGTTAGAAATATTAACTTCCGGCTATGATGAGTTTCAGGGAAAATTAATATTCTATGAAAATCTTTTCTGGTTGTAGACAATTATGAACGCTAATGTAAACTAGTATCGCTTGTACTTTCAAAAACATGCTACAAAATTAACTTTCTGGATTGTCATCAGCTTCCTCATAAAATTCTCTTTAAATTCGTCCATGGTCTAATATCTCATCCATTTTAACGGCGCAGTTATCTTTGTAAAATATTGAAGTCGAAGTGAATTAAATTTGGTTTATCGGACTACTAACACAACTTAGACGACGAAATGTTTTATCAAAACGACTGCACTTGCCTGTCTCGCAACTTTTAAACTTAAGTGAAAGTTTTTATCTAACATTTGTCATCGAATCAGCGCAAATAGCCCCAAATTAATACAGATAAACTGTGAATGTAAGGTTTGTCCAATACAAAGAACTTCAATGACACCATACTCTCAGATGAGCGTTTATTCATACATGCACAATAAAATCTCCTCTGATTCTTTGTTCAGTTACACCAGGGCCGAGTTACTGCGTTTTAAGATATCAAAAATGAATGAATTCTTTCTGAATATTTCTCTTATGCATTACATCTATCTATATATAACATTCTGTGATTTCCGTTATTCGAACCATCTGTCCGTCACCGGGATCTTTCAAGAAATTCATCCTAGCGAAAGAAATTTCTGAACATTTCTTGTTTACTATTTAGTTCATCCCAACACTTGCCAATCACAATGTCAGATTCTAACGAGTCCAGTTTTTAGGACTGCTTTACAATGTCTCCAAATTCTTAACAGGAGTGATGTCAGAGGAATTTTCTAACCACCGACCATATTCATAGTTCCGGAAATTAAGGCTACGCGTACGATGCCTCAAGCAGCTGATTTTAGTGCCAAATATATAGCTACACGAATTGCTGGCTTTATAAGGCATTGTTGATAGTAAAACGTTGCTGAGAAAGTTTCATTGTAATTCTTTCTTGTTTATTCGATTCTAGACACATTCACAAGTTGTCAACAAATTTATATCGACGTTTGGTTTTATTCTGAATTATTAATAAAATCATTTTCTAGTTTATTTCACACGATACCTTTTATATATCCACATTTTTATCTATTTATCTCTCTATATATTATATTCTGTTCATATTTATCTAACAATCCATATATCTATTTGTATTCTATTACAAGTTAATCATATGAATCTATCTCGTTCGTTCTATCTATATACATACATTTTATATTATTAATTTTGTGCATGTGCGTTGTTCGTTTTTGGTTTTGTCGACTGCACAACATAATAAGTTGGATACCATTTATGAGAAAAAGTGCACCATGACAAAATGAATTCAGCAGGATCAGATAGTGTTTTTTTTTCCTACGAACGGCGACGGATTTTCTTTGTTTTGTCCAATGTGCATTGGCGGTGGACGTAATACATTGTGTAAAAAGCAAAGTGTCTGCATAAACACGGGCATTTGATAAAAATAACGTTTGAAGTCATATATATATGTGTGTGGGGGGGTCTCTCTCTCTCTATCTAAAAATCTATCTACCTATCTTTGTATCTGTGTGTGCTTGCTTGCGTTTTTTTTTTTTTTTTTGTTTCAAGGTTGTAATTTTGCTTTTAACTTTTGCAAATCTACCCGGAAGACTGAGCCACCCGATGCTTTACCTATTTATTTATCTACATTTTTATAGAATGTATTTTGGGCGGCCTACGTCCAAGCGAATATGGCCGGCCAGAACAGCACGAAAATAAACACAGCAGACATTTTTCTTTGCTCACACAGAATTAGTCTCCATTATTTATAGATGTCAAATTTCTGATTGTCCCTCAAATGACTTTCAAACGCGACCGCCGCCATGCGATACACGTTCTCAGAAACTTGAAAATTGGTTCCCTTCTTTCTTCTTCTGGTAAATCATTTGGCTTATGGAAAAGTTTCATCATGTCCGAACAAATTCCCTCTTGTTACTTCGCATAAAAATATAATTATTTTATAAGTTTCTCGAATGACTCTTTTTAGAAATGAATATAAACATGATGTTTTAGTATGCTTATCATTTTTCTCGAATTTGGGTAAATGCAACGATTAACATTTTTCTCGAGATTTTCAGATCAAATCGTTTTATCGATATTACAAATCTTTTAATCAGTGATAACGAGATTTTCTAATTTCTAATCCTAAATCGCAAATCTCAGTTCCGTTTTTCCTTCGTTAAAGTTAACAGTTTCAAATCGGAAAACGAAAAATTCTGAAAGTTTTACCCGAGTTACTGAAGTAAAGGAATGCTAGTTTGAGTCTTTTTTTTTTTTTTTGAAGCGATTTCTTTATTTTGATTTCGAACTACTTAAGATGAATGCTTTGTCTTACTTCGTTATTTTTTTATCTTTTAAAAACGAAGAAAAAAGGAAAAAAAAACACAAAAGAAGAGAATGTCTAAAAGTGGCATAATTTAAAGGTCTTCTTTCCTAAAACTAATTTCAGTGCTTTTGATGTTCTAAATATCAGGATTTTTCAGCTGGTTGCATCTTTTTTCATCTTAAGGATACCTTTTATTTTCTCCGATAATTCCAGTCGTAAAGACAATATTGGAATCTTCATTTTATCTTGACGCTTTTTCACAGACTAGTTTCATTCCGATTATCAACGGTCGTTCTCAGAAAAGAAAAGCGCGAATGTATTTATTTGGAGTAAATCCTTATCATTTACCAATATTGATTATTCTCTATAGTATAAAACCTTCAGAAGGCTTCCGGTATTTCTCGATTTTTCTCAGTTACAATGGCCTACCAGTGCGTTAAGAGGGTTTTCAGTGCACAAACAGCGTGTAAATATTTTTTGTATATTCCGAAAAGTGGAAAGTTTAAAAGCAGGAAATTATTGACAAGAAACAAAATGGCTACGCTCATGTTCAAACAAAAACAAAATGGTGGAAGAAACTATCGGTTTATTGAAATAAATGCGAACGGGGTGAATATTCATTTATTTCTCATTCTTTCAAGGATAAACCATCAGATGAAACTTTTATAAGATAACGAGAACAAAACAAATGTGGAGATTTACTTTGATTGTGCTGATATTCGTTTCGCATCAAATAATAAGAGAAAAAGGGATAGACTGAAAAAGAAATTTATGCGAAAAATTCTTTATACCAGCCAATAGTTTAATAAACTTTATGGCGATATACTCCGTTATTTTTGTCTGAATAACTGTTTTTTTTAAACAAAGTTTTCTATACATTGAAGTTTTTTACGTATTCTCTAGACTTTCGTCGCTTTCTTGACAGGACGTTTTGGCAGTTGTACAGGAAAGCCGGCCAAAACGTCGTATCAGGCAAATGGAGACACAAGGATTTTTTAAGGTAACACAAAGAATCTAGATCACGCATATACACAGCTAAAGAAAATATTACTTTGAATATTTCCGAATATGTTTAAACGGGCTTAAATATTTATAAATCTAACTAAGAATTAAATATGTAAATCTTAAAACTTCATGTGCTAATATAATAAAACCATTGCCATCAAAAATCAATTGCCTCTTAGTGTCTTTTTGTCTTGCTTGGGGTGAAATAATTTTAAAAAATCTGCTCTTCCTTTTTAGCATATATAGCACAGCAAATGCCATCATTTGTAAAAGGAAAGAAAGAAATAAAGATGGCAAAGAGAAAACAGACATAAAATCTATTATTTTGTGAAGATGATGAAGAAAATAGCTCTTTTACTTTGAGATTTTTATGCTATTTAACAAATTAATGATTTTTACGGAAAAAAATATTTAAAAGTTTACGTTGTTCGGAGCAAATAATAAATATTCAATGAAGGGTGAATAATTTAAAATATTACACGGATGTTTTTCTATCAATAAGCCGCCCAGGTCGCGACACCTCGATAATTAATCTTTTTTAAATGTAATTGATATCAGTAAGAAGCCTCCGCCCGTAATCGATTATTCAAAATCAACCGGGCCTTTGTCAAACACAGATCAATAACTTATCGATTGATCTAACACCTATTGAAAAAGTTCCAACGAATATTTTAATTATTTCAACTTCCATGCTAAGTCGATTACAAAGCTTTCAATTTTTAAAAATAAAACAATTTGTAATATTATTGATATAATCAGGTTTATGAGTGCCAGGATTGATTGGTTGGCATTTTCATTTTAGGAATTTCGTGATATATCTTCGAAAAAACTATTTGCTGCAGTATTACTCATGTAATATAGATATAGATAGGTAGAGACTGATATAGATAGCCAGTAAAGAAAGATATGAATTGGTAGATATTAGCGCAAAATAGATATGAACAAATTGAGATAGATAGATAGATAGATAGATAGATAGATAGGTTTGGTGTGTTTTATTTTTACGTGTCAACTCTTACTGTGTTATTTATGGTCGAAGTTAATCTATTATTATTATTATTATTATTATTATTATTATTAATGTATTTTTGATTTTTTTTTCCAACTCTTAGAAGTGTTGGCCGGGTGATGACGGCCATATCTAATCTCCTAACCTAAATGCAATTCCATCCCTATTCATTTCCGGAAACTTTCACTAAGCTTAATTTGCATAACGATCTTATTAAGTGATACTTAGCCATGTAGTGTTTATATTTTCTTTACATCAATCATACTCACCTTATGTAGATGAACATTTCCACTCATTACCATTTCTTTATCTCTTCTAAGCCGCCCCGGATTTTCTTAATCTTATTGTCTCTACCTTTTCTCGATTGTACACCTTGTTCCAGTTATTATAAGGTATGCTACTAGTTTTAATGTGCTATATTTCAATATCCCTATATTTATTCATTTAATCATATTATTTCATAGATATATTTTTATCTGGCAGCATTGCCATATCTATGAGAAGACATTTTTTATAGTCTTTGATAATTATGTCTGGTCTATTAGCATTTAAAGGTCCGTCAGTGAGAATTGTAAAATCCGAAAGAATAGTGCATTGGTGGAATTCTACTTTCATACCATTTTACAACATATGGTAGACTATATTATTTTTAAATACTTATACAAATTGGTCTTACCATAGAGGCCTCTGTATTTTATTATTATTTTATTTTTGGTTTCAACATTTGACATTTCTATACTAAGTGGTTAACAGTCTTAACATGTTATTCATATAATCTACTTATTGGGTCTGTGTCAGTTTTGTATTATGTCTACTGGTAATTCCTGGCGAATATGTTTTGGTTTTGTGCAGCCATTATAAACGCTCTTAAACTTTCGATATTCAGCCACTGATGGGATTTGTTTTCAACTACATTGGCATCGTTACTTAGTGTTTAATCATATTAACCTAAACCAGATAATAAGAAGCGATGGGTTACTGAGTGTGAGAGAATATCAAAAAATAAAAACATTATGATGGAGAAGGAACAATAAAAGAATAGAAATAAAGAAGACGTAAGATAACGGTTGACATTGCATTTATGCTTTTGAAGTTAAAAGTTGACTGGAACTAAGAATCCGGAAGCGAATTCCACAAGTGAAAAGTACTAGAGAAGATACTGTTAGCATAGAACTTACGGTTACTTCTGCGTGCATTTTGACAATGCATGGGGTTTTATTCCCGGGTGACTTTTTAAATTGTTCAAACCTTCTGTTTTTATGATTTAACTTAATTTTTGGATGAGTATTTTTATAATGTAAAGTTGTCCCTTTAAAAACATATTGTTTGATTTATAAATAATTATTATTAATGATCGTATTATCATTATGAACCTATAAGCATTTACTTGGTTCGGGAATATGTAGATATTGGTCACTTATTTTTGAATCTGTATTTACTTGATTGGCGGTACACTTTTAGGGACGTTGTCGTCTCTTCAATTGATGCAGTCGAAGTATTCTAAGCTTGCCGAAACGTCCTTAAAATAGTAAGCTAGATAGATAGTTACGACTGAAAGGAAATAAGTATATGAGTAGCTAAAGAAACTGATTGATCGATATTCGATTCGCATAAAAGTGGTAAAAACAGAATGTGGAACACAGATTCGGACTGGAAGTTGAAATATCTCCTTCTCTTTATATTTCTATACCTGTCCATCACTATCTCTCATCTCATCTCTCTCTCTCTCTCTCTCTTTAATTTTCATGTCTTCTTTCCCGATCGTCGTCACCTAGTTAATCTGATACGAATGATCCGTTTGCAGTGATCCGTGGTCAGTAATTTAACCGTGAAGCCACCTTATTGATTCTCGTTATCAATCCGTAATCATCTTTGTCACTATTCCATTTCGTCTCTCGTCTGCGATACAACATTCTTCTTCAGTTTCTCATAAACGTTGTCTTCGTCAGCTCATTATTCATTTATTTCTTATTTCTCAGTGATTACTTTTCCTGCTTCTCCAAAAACACCACAAATTCTTTAGAGAATTCTATATTTTATAGATATTTTTCTTCTTTAATTATACGACTATGTGCTCATCCATCTTTTTCATAGATTCTAATCCTGAATTAAACCCCAGGTTCAGTTCTGTCCATCAGTTTTAAAGGTGCGCTATAAGAGACGGGGTGACGGTGCTAAGAAAGTCAATGCAATGTCGAGCGCCCCTACGGACCACTCACAATTCGAAACAGCTTCGTGGGCAAGTTGTAAAACGTAGCTGTATGCAAGATGAGTTCATTTTTTGCAATGATGTTCCTGATGTAAAAGGCGCAAGAGCCACTCTAGATAGAAGATT